GTTCAGTTCTGCCTCGGGCTCATAAAGGCTATGGGAAGGCTGTCTCCAAAGAGGACTGACCGTGCAGGGGAGGCGTGGGAACCTTGGCACATGTCAGAGAGCCTCCTAGTGCAGAGCTGGAAGGGGGAGGGGCACGTTGTTTGTTTGTTTTGTGTGTTTGTTTATTTTTTAGGGAGGGCAAAAGAGAGGGAGAGAAACATCAATCGGTTGCCTCTCATATGCACCCCGATCAGGGACTGAACTCACAACCCAGGCATGTGCCCTGACCAGGAATCAAACTGGGGACCTTTAATGTTGCAGAACGATTCCCAATCCACTGAGCCACACTGGCCGGGGCAAGAGTGGGTGTTCGTTCTTTAGTGGGTGTTTAGTGGGCATGGAATTCACACCAGAACCCCACAGGATATCATTCTACCTGCGTCAGTTTACACTTGACTAGAAACGCAGGCTCAGAGAGGTAAAGCAATTAGCCCAGGGTCACACAGCTAGTGAGTAGTGTGCTGGGACTCAAACTGCGCGTCTGACTGCTTTTCAAGTGCTGTGTGTTACCAGCCCCTTCAGCCTATTCATTTTCCAGGTAGGACACCTGGGGCCATGTGAGCAAACAAAGCATGGAGGTCAGGAGGAGCCCACCTTTCCAGAGCACTGTGTGGGTTCCCGGTCACTTTCAGACTCCTCTTCTCCTTTTCTTCTCTCGAAACCCAGCAAGACCACCAGGGCCTGTGTTGCTGGCCCCATTTTGCAGATGTAGAAACTGAGCGAGGCCAGGAAGGCAGGCCACAGGCACGCCTTTCTCTGGAAAACTAAACCAGGGCGAGTGGAAAGGTGGAGACATGCTTGTCTGCTCAGAGCCCACGGAGGCAGTGCTGGTTTGTGCTTCTCGGGCTGCGATGCAGACCCCACGAGGGCAGCGGGAACAGAGGAGCTGGGAAGTTCGCCACTGAGCCCCTGCCTTTTTTCAAAGCTCTTTCATTCCCTTTCTTTTACTTGACTCTTTCTGGTCCCCCCTGAAATCCAGAAAAATCAGATCTGAAGTATAGGGTGGTTATAAGAGGATTTGAGTGAGTGAGTGAGTGAGTAAGTGAGCAGTTGTGCCATGGCCTAGCTATTCTGACCACCAACTGGGAGGACTTCCTACTGTAGAAGTCAGGATATGGCTTAGACTGCTCTTAACACCCCCACCCCCACCCCCCGTGATTTACACAAAACAGAATTTGTTTCCTTCTCATGTACCAGTGTAGGTGGTTTTGAAACCTCTCTTCTACGAGGTTCTTGGAGACCTAGGCTCCTCCCTTGCCACCCCACCGTCCCTAGAGGTTTCTCTATCCGCATGCTCCTTCCCTTGAAGGGGATGACCTGAAAGCTAAACACATCACTTTCTCCTCAAATCCCACCAGCCAGAACTTAAATCTGCGGCTGCACCTAGCTGCAAGGGAAGCTGGGAAATGCGGTTTTTCTTATGGGTGGCCACATTCCAGCCGAAAGTCAGTTCTGTCATTATGAAAATGAGAGAGACTAGACAATGGGGGAGAAGGAGGAAAGTAGTCTCTGGCACTCATCCCAGGCTAGAAGGAAGCTGTGTGGCCGAAGAACACAAGACTCTCCTTGGATGATTGTCTGTGGTCCCAGAATCATAGTCCCTGGCATGGCCACTGGCCTTAGACTGGGAGGGTCTTGATGGCTGGGACCAGGTCTGACTCACTTCCTTTGTCTCCCTGTGTGCACAGACCTACACCAGTGCCCACTTGTCACAGCTGCCATTTACCAAACTCTTACATGCCAGCCACCGTCCTAAGCACCACCTGTGGGGCCAGATTTGACAAAATTTAGGGGACTGCCAAGAAACTCTGTGGTCAAGATGAATTGTATATATGTGTGTTTATATATATTTTACATATGTATACTGTATGTTATATATGTGTATGCACATATGTTTTAAAAAAAAATAATGCAGTGGTTTTTAGTGACCAATTACATGACTAAACTACTTTAATTCCAGAATATTTTTATCACCTGCAAAAGAAACTCGGTACCCATTAGAAGTCACTCCTCGTTCCCTCTACCCGCCCCCCCGCCGGTGCCTGGCAACCGGTAGTCTGTTTCTGTCTCTGGATTTGCTTACTCTGGACATTTCATATAAATGGAATCATACAATAGGTACGACATGTGGTCTTTTGTGACTTGTTCCTTTCGCTTAGCATAATTTCAAGGTTCATTGGTGTCATAGCATGTACCAGTAGTTTGTTCCTCTTTATTAACCAATAGTGTCCCGTTGTATGAATAGACCACATTTTGTCTATTCACTCACCAGCTGATGAACATTTTCTACCTTTGGGCTTTTATGAATAATGTTATGAACATGTGTGTACAAGTCTTTTGTGAACATGTTTCCATTTCTCTTGGATATGTAACTAGAAGTGGAATTGCTGGGTCAAATGTTAAGATGAGTAATATTTTTAAAAATGAAAATTAGCCCTGGCCAGGCAGCTCAGTTGGTTGGAGCATCATCCCATGCTTCAAAAGGTTGCGGGTTTGGTCCCTGGTCAGGGCACATACCTCGGTGGCCGGTTTGAGCCCTGATCAGGGCATATATGGGAGGCAAACAGTTGATGGTTCTCCCTCACATCGATGTTTCTCTCTCTCTCCCTTCCTGTCTCTCTAAAATCAATTTAAAAAAGAACATATCCCTGGGCAAGGATTAAAAAATAAAACTGAGTGCACAAAACTCTATGATGAACAAAATATCAACGTTTTAAGTAGAGGCAGTGCATTGTCTGTTTTGTGCCCCGGTGTCGCTGTGCAGTACCTCGGGAACAGTGGGTGATGCCTGGGCCCGTGTGTGTTTATGAGAGCTGGCATGGCACGCAGGCAGTTAACTCGGGGTTTGACACACTGTCATGTCTTTTACTGTAGGTGTTCATTAACTTTTTCCACTTGGTTCAGACTATGGGGGATGTTTTGATAAGTAGCTGTGGGAGGAACATGTGATTTTCCTTTTGCCCCAGGCCCCAAGAGGGCTCAACAAAGCACTGACCACCGACACCATTTCATTTAATTTGCAAACTTCTTTCTCCTTCTCCAGCCTCTTTGCCAAGGTTAGAGGAGAAACTGCCCACAGTTCACAGCTAGTGTATGGGAGAGCTGAAATTTGAACCTGGGCCTGAGGCCAGAGGCCTAGCCCTGCACCACACGTATTGTATCTCTCATGACTCCGCAAGGAGTGAGGTCAAGGTAGGAGAGTCACTTCAGCCCTCGTAACCTCAGCCCCTCCTTCAGTGACATGGGCAAAACCACACCTACTGTATGTCATGACTATGAGGAACAGATGTGAGCACGCACAGTGAACTGTGGAACTTGCTTTCCTCCACTGGAAGGGTTTGCCTTGCGCTGCACCTTGAGGCGATGAAATGAATCACCGAGTGAAACCTACCCTCGTGTGTACCGTAGGAGCCCACCAATCAGGTCCCCCAAATGAAGCCACGTGTGAACATTTTATTTTTGCCCCGAGGGTTAGGAAAATAATTTGGTTCCCCCAAGAAACAAGGATTTTCTCAGGGACGATGAGAAGAATGTAGCTGTTTGTGTTTTCCTTTTCACTTTGGCCACCAGGAAACTCAAAGCCAAATTCATGGCTCCAAAAGAACTCGTGTGTGAGTTCTTGCTTGCTTGTGCTTTTATTTTCTCTGTGCTGTACAATGCCTCTTGTAATTTATGTTTGTCCTGATGTTCACAGTTTTATTTAGATTTTACTGCTTTATCGTGTATTTCCTGATGGTTACCTAAATCCTTTATATGACATGCCAAGAAGAAATACACTTTTAGAACGAACTGGAGATCGCATGGCATGTATTTGGACTGATGGTCAGTCTCACCCAAGGCCCAAAGGGCGGCAGCCGTGGTGTGATCCTGCTGGGGCCAGGCCTGGGCCTGTAGCTCCCGCTGAGCCTGGAGAGCTTTGCCTGAGCCCTGGCCTCCCTTTGGTAGGAGGAAGGGAGAAGGGAGCTGGGGACCCCAGCAGCCATTCCTCGCACGCAAGCCTGCTCAGTCAAGCTCGCGTGTTCCTCAGCGCACCTGTGCTGCCACGCCGAGACCGACGGAGGGACGCCAGGGGGGTTCTGTCCCTGTCGGAATCCCTCCAGGTGTGGCCTTTGGTTTTGGTGGCCGTGTGGGCAGTCTTCAGAGCCCAGCCGGGAAGGCCCACCTTCCACCCTCTTCGCTTCTCCGAGAGGCTCTGAGCCCCATGAACATCTCCCCACAAAGCAGAAGGGACACGTCTTCCTTTCAGAGGCGGCGAGTACACTTGAAAAGAAACCCTCAGGGAAGGGCATCGCTTCCAGAGCTGTCCAGCCTTGTGGCGGAGTTCCTTGTGGGAAGAAGAGTTGTCTTGGGCCACACATTAAATACATTGCAACACGTAATCACCAAAAAAATCTCACAATGTTTTCAGTAAATTGACGATTTTGTGTTGGGCCGCATTCACAGCCGTCCTGGGCTGCACGCGCCCGCGGGCCGCAGGTTAGACGCCCCTGGGAGGGAATGAAGGCCGAACGGTGGACCTTCTGAGGGAGGGCTTTCTGTTTCACAGGTGGAGAGGGAGCTGTGTGGTTCAAAGGGACAGGGAGCCTTCAAGAAGACACCGCCATTAGTCAGGGCAGTGCTTCTGGGTGGGTCCCTGAGTAAGCGAGCGGTGAACTTGCCTGTGGAGCAAGCAGCGCTGGTGGTGGCTGGGGCGCAGGAAAGAGGAACGGGCTGGGTCTTGCCCACTCCAGCAGAGGGCACCTCTCTCAGTTCCTTCTTCCCAGACCCTGGCTGTGTCACAGGTCACCCCAAGAAGCCTGAGTTCACGGTTGTCCCCACCCTGAGAGTCATAAGGAAGCAGGAAGGTTCCTCTTCCAGGGGTGACCACCCCCTTCCCTGCCAGCCATCACCCCCTCCCCTGGGCAGAGAACGCTCTGAGCAGAGCCTTGCACTCACCCCTCCTGCCTCCTTCCTCCTCCCAGGAAAGCCCTACGGGGCAGATGACTTCCTGCCGGTGCTCATGTACGTGCTGGCCCGCAGCAACCTCACAGAGATGCTCCTGGACGTGGAGTACATGATGGAGCTTATGGACCCCGCCCTGCAGCTGGGGGAAGGTGAGCCACGCCCCCGACCCGGCCATGCTGGGGTGGGCACTGGGCGGCCCGATGAGCACCTTCTGGATGCCGAACTTCCCTGAGCTTTGGGGATACTGCATTTAAGGGCCCGACACAGACCCTGTCCTGGGGGGAGCTCACAGACCAGCAGGGGAGCTGGGCCAGTAGAGAGACCATGTCACTGCTGCATGGCATATGCTGAAATGGTGGGAAGCCCAGAGGATATGGGAGCACATTACTCAGGCTGTGCAGTCAGGGAGGACTTGCTGGAGGAGGTGACACCAGAGCTGAGCATGGAAGAATGAACAGGAACCAGTCAGATAAAGGCGGAACAGCTGTTGCTCGTAGTGCAAAAGATAAGGCTGAAGAGGGCAGTGCCCACGGGGAGTCTGCTCAGGACACAGTGGTCAGTTCTCAGGCTGGGGTGGCCCTGGGCACCCTCTGCCCCCGCTGATCATCCAGCCCTGGGCCAGCTCATCTGTCAGTGGGTGGAGGTGAACGCTATGAGTAAATGGCAGTGATGCGGCCCGCTGCACCCACCCTCAGTTTTCCTTCCCCCTTCTTCCTTCCCACCACTTCCTCCCACCCACTTAGCCTTAAGCCACCCCTCCACCAAGAATCCCAGAGATGCAGCCAGCCCAGGAACCAGCTCTGAGGGAGCCCCGATTGTCCTCTGAGACAGGGGTTCCCAACCTCCCTCCTCCCGGTTCTGTGGATGCTGTTCGCATTACCCGCCCCCTCACATCTCCGTCCGCCTCCTGTCTCCCCCACCCCCTCCCCAGCCTGAGCTCCGCCTCCTGTCTCCCCCACCCCGGTCTGTGGAAAAATTGTCTTCTACGAAACCAGTTCCTGGTGCCAAAAAGGCTGGGGACCGCTGCTCTAAGACATCAGCCTCAAAGGGTGAAACAAAACTCTCAGGCCCCAAGTGGCCCCTTTGGGCTTTGTGGTTCTTATGATAAACCGCCCCTCTTTGCATCTGTTTGCATGTTTACCATATGTCAGCCTCTGAGTGACAGTTCTGTGATTTCTTGGAAGTTCAGAGGAGCACGAAGCCATGAAGTTCACTGTCACATACAACTTTGGCTCATGCCCTGGAACCTCTAGATCTATTTTTTTCCTCCTCTATTGTTAAAGTTTTCCTGCAGTCGAACAATCTGTTTTCCAGAGGCCTAGGAATTCAGTAGAAGCCAGGCTTCCTTCAGCAGTGATTATTGGCCACCTCACCACCCACCCACCCACCCACCCATTTATCCACCCACCTATCCACCCACCCACCCACCCACCCATTTATCCATCCATCCTCGCACCCACCCACCCACCACCTGCCCAGTTATCCATCCATCCATCTATCCACCCATCTACCCAACTGTCTATTCATTCTTCTACCCTCCTACCACACACCCATTCATCCATTCACCTACCCATCCATCTACTGAGATACCTACCCACCCACCCATCCATCCATCCACTCACCCACTCATCTATTCATCTAGCAGCTACTCAGGGAGCCCCTACTGTGTGCCAGGCCCCATGCCAGGCACTTGGGTTGAAGTGCAAAGCGAGACAGATGAGGCTGATAGCGTCGCAAAGATGAAGGCCTGCCTTGTTCCGTACCCCACATTTTGGGGTCTCCACCTCCAGCCTTCGTGGGCCTTCCTCCTTGGTTTCCTCAGCCTTGAACATGCACACTTAAGCACCACAAGGCTGAGGGGTCGGACAAAGGCCTCAAACAACCCTGACCTGCCTCCTACGGGCCCCCTCAGCCTGTGGGGGAAACAGAGAAGGGAGTGGGAGGCCAGGAGCCTCCATTCAGGGGGCTCTGAGAAAAATTGGCTTGCTGTCCCAAACACCGAGCACCCCATTTCCTAGGACAAGCCCCCTGAAAAGTACAGCAGCCCACCCAGCACTCTCAGCAGGAACATTAGCTGTGGTCTTGTGGCTGCCACCTGAGCTGCTCCTTTGTGCTGGGTACAGCGGGTCCCTTTTCTCATGGAGACTCAATCCTGTGCAGGGGGGGATGGATGTGTCAGATTAAACAGACGTGCAAACAAGATAATTTCACACATGGTCACATCTAGATCTGGTGGATGTCGAGAAGACAGGAAGCCAGCAGGTGGGATCGAGCGATGGGGCAGGCCCGAGCTCAGATGACCGAGGGAGTCCCTGAAAGTCTTCTCTTTACTTTTGTTCTGTTTTCCAAACTTTCCACAGTGGGCACATGTTGCTGATCTTTCTGGGAAGAAATCGTTTACGTATCCAGTTAAAGGGCAGGCCCGCACCCCACGGGGCTGTTACAGAGTCGAAGAGACAGAGGATGGGGTGCGAGCGGGGCGGTGTGGAAGGTCCGAGCGCCAGCTCCCTCTGCGGCAGCTGGCAGCCGGCAGCCACGCTCTGGCTGCCAGAGCTCCTAAATGGGGCTCCAAGCCAGGCACAGGACGGGGACAGCCTCAGCCTGACTTCCCCCTCCTTAGGGCCCCACCCCCGCCCCCTCCTTGCCGTGCCCGCCGGGATCCTTCTTCCTGCTCCTGAAGCCTCTGGTGTCCCATGGTGGGAAAGGTGCCCGGGCTGTTCTGGGCTACAGTGTGCTTTTGAGACAAGCAAAAGTACAAACACACACACGAAGGTCTTGGACAGTCCCTGGCCTGTGGCTGCCTCACTACCCTGCAGCCGGCCTTTTTTCAGACACAGCATTTGGAGACCCCGCCCCACCTGCGGCCCAGGGAGGAGATTTCAAAGGAATGCGTGGGGTGCTTGCTGGAAGGAAAGGTTGGGGCAGGCAGAGCGCTCCTCCCAGCAGCCCGGCCCCTCCCGCCGTAGTACCATCAGACCCTGCCCGTGGGGGCCCGGGGACAAACTACACCGTGCCGCACACACCAGGAGGTGGGGTGGCGGGCAGGGGTGGCTCCCTGCATCTCTGTGCCTAGTCCAATGGTCAGGGTGGGAGGTCACAGCACCCGGGACAGTCCTGGCCTCACAGGCCTTGGCCTTCTGTTGCGAGGTGACTTCGGTCTCCAGCTTGCGCGGGGGCTCCCACCTTTCAAGCCTGCCAGCTGTCAGACCTCCATCTGGAGGTACCTGGGCCCAAGGAAAGAGGACAGATACTGTATTTCCCCAGCTTCCCCCGCACGTCCTAGCTGCGTGGTGGTATACAGGGCACTCGATCGCCAAAGCCCTTGAGTGCAGGTAAGGAGGGTCCTGTCTGGAGGGTGAGGCACAGCCCCTGCTGGCCGGTCCCTGCCCTTGGTCCTCAGTGGAGCCCAGAGGTGCCTGGGACACAGGCAGGCCCTCAGGGGGTCCCCAGTCTTGAGAACTTCAGTTGCTCCAACCTAAGAGAAGAAGTAACACAGGGTGTAGTAAAAATAACTGTATGGGGGTTGGGTTTCAGTTCTGGTTCTGCCTGTGATTGGCTGGAATCCTTGGGCAAGTCACTTAACCTCGGAGTTGGGTTTGGGGTTTTCAAACTGCCTGGCCACTCCTGAGCTCTGCTGAGGGAGCTGGAGGCAAGAGGAACGGAGGAGCTGGACTCTGCGGTCTTGCGTTCCACCAGTCAGAGGAGCAAACAGCCCTGCATTCAACAGAAAACCTGAGGCTGGGCTCTGGAGTCTGCGCTTTGGGACCTTCATGTTCATTCCATGTAAAGGACAAGTGACAGGGTCCCCTTTCTTTGCAGCAAGCACATTGGGTGCGAGAGATCAGCATATATCAGGGTGGGGAAGATCAGAAGTGAAGAGGCCCCAAGCATTAGGCTGACGAGACCCCAGCTCCATTCTAGTCTCTGCCTGCAGCTCCCTCCACTCTGCGCAATTATGGGACGGACGGGAGACCCAGGCAGCTGCAGGGCACCTGGCTGAAGCCAGCTCAAGGCCCAACCGTCTCCCAGAAGCACCGTCACGGACTCATTCACCCGCGCTCCCTCTCCACACTGGCTGACAGCTGGCCATGCTAGGCTAACATCTTAATAGAGGCAGTGAGTTTTTCCCATTCACTGGCAACCCACTCTCCCTCAAAGAGAACCAGCCTTAAACCTCACTGTGGGAGGAGTTGCCTGCCACCCAGTGGTCCTCAGGGGTACTGCATGGCCCAAGTCAAGGGGAAGTGCCTGGGTGGGTGGTCACACCAGCTGTGAAAAGGCAGGATGGGAGCAAGAAGAATGGGTTGCAGGGCTTGGAGCTCCTCCCCCTTCTCCTGTGAGGATGAGACCCCCCCCAGAGCCCCTTCCTGAGGTCACCTAACCACCACACGTTACTCATCACTAAGCACTGCACCTTATACTTAGCCATCTCATTTACTTTTCACATGGACGTTGTAGGATTTGCAGGCGAGGAAGCAGAGGTGTGGAGAGGATGCTCACTCGCCTGGGATCACAGGCTGGCTGCTGACGGGCAAAGACAGGCCCGGCTGTCTGACTCCAAAACTGCGTGTTCTCTGTCAGCGCACTGCACGCAGCCCCTCTGATCCCAGGCAGGGAGACATGGTCCCGGATGGGACACCAGAGCACATTGAGATATGCCCACAAAAGGACAGGGACTTCTGGGGGCGTCCTGGCACACACAGGCTTTGTGCTTCACCAAGAAAGAAGGGTTTACTGCCCTTCTCTGAGAAGGGGCACCACGCCACGTTCTATGCTGGCCTTGGCACACTTATTCCGAAAAAAAAGTCTCTTTCCTACATTGCCGTGGAAGGGGGAGTGACCCTGTGGCCATATACCCTTTTATCTTAACCCCCACCAACCTCGGCCAGGACGTGACCTCTGCCCATGTTGGTTGTAGAATTTGTAGGCAAGTATAGGCAGCTTGATCCGATGCAGGCGAGGAATGCTTTAATCTGCCAATGACTTATGATGCAATTAACAATGTTACATCAGAGCGAAGGGCTGTCTTGTCTCCTGCCCCAAGAGGTCGTGGGGTGCGCCACTGAGAGTGACAGCAGGGTTTAGCCCTGCTGCCAGGAAATCGGGGACCCGGCTCGTCCCCTCGGTGTTCAGGATGTGAGCCTTTGTCTTTGTGCCTGTCACCTCTGATAACGAAACCGCTGCTGTGCCTTTGGGCTCGGCAGTAGGGCATCGTCTGCGTGTTGTATTGAGTGTTCCCCACCCCAGGGTCTGCCCCTCACAGGTTCCCCTGGAAGCCCCGTCCAGGCACTTCCGCTTATACCTGAGGGGCCAGAAGAGGGTTCCCTGCCCTCTACCCCAACTGCAAGGGGGTCTGGGCAGTGAGCATTTTCAATGGATTGTTATTTCCCCCCTAAAAAGGAGCGTTTAGTTCGTTAGGAAGAAAGAGAAGATGAGATTTAGATGGGTCTCTAGGAGAACTGGCCTCATGTCAAAAATCGCTGTCTTGCTGTTGAAAGGGCTGGGGGAGCGGCCCGGCGAGTGGGAGGGACCCCCACAAAAGTCACCCCCCCTCTGTAAAGGGAGGGGCTCAACGAGGCCAGTGCTTCTCAGACATGTTAACCGAAGCCCCTAACAAACCAAGGAGACTGAACTTGTAAGCATCTGTGCCAACCATTGTCTTTAATCTTAAAACTTAATGGAAGTTTTGCGGTCTGAAGTATGTCAAAGCCTAAATTACTTTAGGAAACATTAGCTCTTAGGAATACATGTGAATTAATTTCAGGTAAAAAGAAGTGGAGAAATGAACAGTTCAAGTTTTTTTTTACTTTAAGTCTTTAAAATCTTATAACCAAAATTAAGATTTTCTCTATATCTTTTAAAAATTATTTTTTAGAATAGGGTATGTAGTCTTCGGCCATACCACCCTGAATGCGCCTGATCTCGTCTAATCTTGGAAGCTAAGCAGGGCCGGTCCTGGTTCGTACTTGGATGGGAGATTAGGGTATATATATCGCTATATATACGTGTGTGTGTGTGTGTGTGTGTGTGTGTGTGTGTGTGTACACTCTCTCTGAGAAGTCACCTGCCCCATCCCTCCTCCCCCATGTCTCCCAACCACCCCCGGGATGATCACTTCTTAACATCATTTTAAAAATAAGCAAGAGCTCCATCTCAAAGGCGAGCCCGTGAGCAGGGCCTGACAGCTCAGGCTGGACTCGGGGAAGCTCGTGAGGCTGTGGGGTGGGCAAGGGGCTGAAGCTCCAGCGTTGTCTCCGCGGACGTGTCCGGGGGCAGCAGCGGTGGGTGGAGCTTGGAGCGCTGGGCGGGGCAGGCAGTCAGAGCTCAGCCCGCACACGCTTGTCCCCGCAGGTTCCTACTATCTGACCACCACCTACGGGGCCCTGGAACACGTCAAGAACTACGACAAGATGACAGTGACCCGGCAGCTGAGCATGGAGGTGCAGGACTCCATCCACCGCTGGGAGCGCCGGCGCACGCTCAACAAGGCCCGGGCCTCCCGCTCCTCCGTGCAGGTGACGCCTGGGTCAGAGAGTGGGGGGAAGACCGTGCCCCAGACACCACCCCCTCTGCCCTCAGGCTCAGGGACCTGCCACCGACTGGCTGTTCTTGCCGGCCAGCTCCCAGCTGCCTGTGTGTGCCCGGCCCTGTGCCAGCTTCCAGGGGAGGGGCCTAGGAAAGTACCCCCACACGCTGGCGATCTAGTCGGGCAGACAAAAGCAGGACAGGGGGAGTGAGACTTCTGCCCTACATTCCTTAGCGCCTGCCCTGTCCTTGCCCCCTGTGAGGGGCGGAGATGTGGACATCAGTCGTGCCCGGCCCACGCTTAGGGAGCCCGCGAGCTGACCCACAGCCTTGTCCCGAGGTCCCTGGACGAATGCAGCAGCCCCCAAGGTCCCACTGCCCCTAGGCTGCCCGCTGCAGTCCGGCTTCCCATCCCTCCCGCCTCTCTCTAGACAAACTCAGTATGCGAGCCGTTGGCGGCCAGACTCCCACCTCCTCCTGCACTGCCGTCACCCCCACGCCGCCAGGCTGCATCCGGCCACACCGAGCTCACCTCCCTCGCACTCAGCCTCTGCCCATGCTGGTCCATCTCTCCGTCACTGGCCGCCCCTTGCCTGTCCTCAGTTTCTCCCCTGACCCCCAACCTGTGCTCCACTCCCTACAACCCGAGTTAGACCCCCTGCTGTGTGCTTCCTGCTGCTACTCTCCCCATTACGGCCCGAATCACACCATATTGTAACCTTCTGTGTATGAAGAAGCTGTCGCCCTGGGAGAGAGGGCCCATGGCTCTCACATCTCAGAGGCTCCCCCCCCAGGGCCTGGGACAGAGTGGGACTGGGGCATGTGCAGAATGGAGGGACTTAGGACAGTGAACCAGGCAGCCATCCAGAGATGTAAATAGCTATGCAGACTCACGCCCCCAGCACCCAGAATGCATTGGACCTGACCCCCAGCCCCGGCTTTCGAGATGGCCCGTCTGTAATGAGAAGAGACAAGGCCCAGGAGGCAAAAGGCTCAGGGTCTGCGCTCAGGTGTGTGCTCACTTACTGTATGGCCCTGCGTGGTCTCTGCCCCTCCCCGGGACTCGGTTTCTCTGTCAGCACAGGTGGACAGTGGGCCACACGAGCTCTGCCAGTCCGTGCTCTGGGCTGCCAAGCTGATGTTCCCTGCTCCTCTGATCAATGTGCCTTGATCATGTTTAGTAACTGCCTTGCGAGCTGGTACAAGCCAGCCTGCATTGGCAAGAGCCAGCTCCAGGACGACATTGGTCCCTACCCCCCGCCCCCTAGGACACTTTCCCCTCCACCAGCTCTTGGATACGGGCGCTCGTGGTTCCAGCCTGACCCATGCATTCCTTACTTGTCCGGCGCTAGGCCAGACAGAGCATCAGTGCCTCCCCGATGGGCGAGGAGCCTGGGAGAGGCCTGGGGTCAGGGACGCGGGGCCCCTCAGCGCTGCTGCTGTCACCTAGGGAGGGCAGTGTCCTCTACCCCACCCCTGTGCCTCCTCGGCACCCCACACCTTAAATCCCTTCTTTCCCTGGGAGTGAAAGCCCAGAGCCTGACAGTAGGTATGAAGAGCCCTTGGGAGGCTTAATGGGAGACAAGAGCCCAGGCAGCCACAAAAGCCCAAGGGCGTGAGCTGGGCGTCCGCTCCTGGAAGAAAGGGGCGATCCCGTTGAAGCCGTCCTCGTAGAGCCTGGCGCCTGGCATGCCCTCGCCAGCCTGGAGCCACCGCCGGGGTCAGCAGCATCGTCAGCCACATCCTGAGAGGGCTGTGCTGTCCCTGTCCTTCCACGGGGTGGCCCCACACAGTCCCCTTCCCTCCTGCCCTCAGGGAGCTTGGGGACAAGGGACCGTGCGGGCTCAGGGCTAGCTTTCCACGCTTCCTCGCAGCAGAGGTGTGCAGGCTGGTGTTACCCAGTGTACAGTGGAGGACATGGAGGCTCAGAGAGGCCAAGGGCACACCGTGAGCAGGAGCAGATTCAGAGCCCGGAGGGGACTGGGGGGCCGTCCTCCCGCCATGCAGCCCGCCCTCCAGGCTGGTAGAGGAAGCTGGAAGTGCCCTTGCGCAGCATGTGTGCACAGAGGTGCCCCCATCCCCCACCCACAGGCATCCCTCGCCCTGCCTGCCCCTCCGCCCAGACCTAAACCCCCACCTTTCCGGCCTAGCTCCCCTGCCCCCACTCCCGCTTCCACCAAGCCTCTTGCCCCTGCAGATCTGTCTCTACCCTAAGCCTCCCCCACCTCCGGCTTTCCCCAGCCTCAGGCTCTTCCGGCGCGAAGGGCTGCACTCTGCCGCCTGCCTTAGCGGTCCAGCTGAACCGTGGGATGCTGGGGCTGGGGTCTGCCTCCAGCTTCACGTATGCCGCCCTTCCTGCCCTGCGTTGCCCCTGGGGTGCAGAACTGCAGGCAGGAGGAGGAAGGGAGGTGAATAAATGGTGGCGAGCCCCTGCTCTGGCCACCAGGGGGCGCGCTCCTCATTGCCAAGACGAAGCTCCTGAACCGAGTGGTCACCCCCACTGAGAAGTGAGGCCCAGAGAGGGAAGGGTCTCACCTGAGGTCACTCAGCAGGGTCAGCCACAGCTACCCTGACTTCTACCCTCACAACCACTCATACAGTCCCATCTCTCTCCAGAGAGGAGTCTAGGGCCCAGAGAGGGAAAAGGGCTCGTCTAAGGCAGCTCAGCTCCTCGTCCCTGTCCATGCTCCCGGCGTTGGAGCGGGGGTGAGACAGGACGCCTACTCCGCCCACCGGTGACACCAGCCCCTCCATCTCACCCCGCAGGACTTCATCTGCGTGTCGTACCTGGAGCCGGAGCACCAGTCACGGACACTGGCGTCGCGGGCGGACACACAGGCCACGGCGCTGTGCGCACAGTGCGCCGAGAAGTTCGAGGTGGCGCAGCCCCAGGACCACAGGCTCTTCGTGCTGGTGGACGGGCGCTGCTTCCAGCTGGCGGACGACGCGCTGCCGCACCACATCAAGGGCTATCTGCTGCGGAGCGAGCCCAAGCGCGACTTCCACTTCGTGTACCGGCCCCTGGACGGCGGGGGCAGCGGGGACCCACCCTGCCTCGTGGTGCAGGAGCCCAACTTCCTGTGAGGCCCGGGCCCCCAAGGGCCCCTCTGTGACAGTGTTTACCAAGGCTGGTGGGGTGGGGAAGCGGGCAAACTGGGGTCACACTCCCTCACCCCCACGCTCACACTCAGCTGCACCCCTCATACGTGCAGGAGCCCCACATCTGACCACACACACTCAACATGGGTGCCCATGTGTCATACCTGCCTGGAACCCTCTGGGCATGCCTAGGCCACCGTGGCAGGACAGCTGTGAAAACGACCAGAATTGGTGACCAAGCGTGCTTCCTGAAGGAGAGATGGAGCACTGGGAGGCCAAGTTACATGTTAGCCATAAAGGGAAACTGAGGCTGAAAGAGAGAAGGGACTCTCCAGCCAGCTGCAGCACAAAGAGCTCAAGCCCGGCCCCGGTTCACTCACAGCCTCTGCCTGACCCGCTTCGGCTGCCCAGCCCCAAGGATTCCCCTCGCGCCCCTGGATGGCGCTGGGATGTTTTGGATCTCAGGAGTATCTCAGGGTGTGTGTGAAGAGAGGGGGCCCCCTCCCGCCCCAGGGCCTGCGCGAGGCTACCACAGCGAGACATACACCGGGACCCCCAAACGAGGCCAGCACCGCGGCCACATGGGCGAGCCCAGCCTCAGCCCCCCTGGGAACACTGACAGGGCCCTCCCCCTGGTGGGCACCCAGGGCTCTGGCAAGAGGCACCGTGTGGGGAGAGTTTAATAAAAGCCCTTTTAAACTGGTATCTGCTTTTCTCAGGGTCTGAAGATCTGCTTTCCACAGAGTGCCCTGTCATTTGAGAATTTGCATTGTGTCCTCAGTCCCCAGGGCCCAGGGCCCTTTGTGCCCCCCAGCCTGATTGTCTCCTGCCTCCTCCTCATCCTTGGTTCCCATTATTCCAACCTCTGGATTGTTTTCCAAACACTCCTCGCCTTCCTGCTTCCCTAAAGCTAGCGATACCATTCCCTAAAGCCTTTGCCTAGTCAAACTATGCATCCTTCAAAGCCCTCCTCCCCCAGGACCACATCTCTGACTTCTTGGGCTGGCCAGATAGCCCCTGTCCACATTTGCATAGCCCCCTGGACTCCTCTCTCTCTCTCTCTCTCTCTCTTTCTCTAACAAGAGATGTCCCATCGGATTGCAGTTGTCTGTTGATACTTCTGTGTGCTCCACCACGTCTGGACCATTCATGTCTGTGTCATCAGCATTGATTAAAAATATATATCTGTGGAGTGGCTGCTAAATGTCAGCACTCTTCTAGAGCCTGGGGAACAGCAGAGAACGAAACAAAGTCGGTGTGGCTGGCAGTGGGCCCGGTGCCCAAAGGGGGTCAGCCAGACCTCCCTGAATTAGGCTCCGCAGCATCAGCCCGCTCAGCTGGCCATTCCGCAGCCGCCTGCAGGACCCTGGCCACAGGCCAGTCCCATGCAAGCCGTGGGGAGCACCCTAGGCGCAGCCAGCCCAGGGGCACTTTCCAGGCTGGGGGTGGGTGTAACAGACGTGAGACAATGGGCAAACCCATACACTGAGGGCAGCCAGCCATGATCCCAGGCTGCCCTGTCCCCCACACAGGCGCTGTCCCCTTCCTGAGCTGCCCGTATCCCCCACATGTGCCCACAGCCTCCAACAAGGCCTGAGGCCCGTGGAGAAGGTCAGGGTGGGCCCGTTACCTGACCACTCCTTGCCCAGGTGGGGCCCCAGCTTGGGGTGGGCGGGATTCAGAGGGTGGATTGAGCTCCGGCCCAGCCCTGGGGGTGTTAAGTTTCCAGGAAGGGAGCTGCACCAGCCAGCCAGCTGGACTGAGGGAACCGAGTGTGTGTGTGGACACGTGTATGCCAGGGTGCATGCCAGGCCCACTGGCCAATGCTGGAGTCCTCCGGTCTGCAGGAGAGACCAGCGGAGGAGGGGTGGGACCGCCTGGAGGCCCTGCCATCTGGATGCCTCTGCCCCAAAGGAGGGTGCCGGACAGCCTCAGGCGCGGGGCCTGACCCAGGGCCAGGGGCAGGACGTTCCGCATGCCCATCGCAGGGCTGCGGGCCCTGTTAGCAATTCCCCTGCCTTGTTTTATTTAATCTGCACAACAGCCCCTTGAGGGAGGTATTTATGGATGAGGACATGTACGCTCAAGGGAAGGGGGAGTGTTGGTCTGCTCGGGCGGCTTCAACACCAGAAATTCATTTCCCCACAGTCCCGGCGGCTGGGGGTCTGGGGTGAAGCTGCAGCAGAGCTGGTTTCTCCTTGGCCCTCAGATGGCCGCCTTCTCGCTGCGTCCTCCGCCGGCCTCTCTGTGCACGGGCGCCCCGGTGTCTTTTCCTCCTCTTAGAAGTTCGACAGCCCTGTTGGGTTAGGGTCCCCACAAGACCCCACTGAACCTGAGTTCGCTCTTTAAAGGCCCCGTCTGCAAACGCAGGCCCGCCCTAAGGCCCTGGGGGTTAGGGCTTCAGCCTAGGAACTCAGGGAGGCACAGCTCAGCTCCTCCCACGGTCACACCAAAGTGAGGCTTGAGCTCAGGGCTGACTGACCCCTCCCCCCCCAATCTAGGGTTCTCCTCCCTACCCCATGCAAAATCCCAAGCGACGTGTTTAAAGAAATCCAAAGCCAGATAGACCTTGTCTGCCGCACAACCAGCCCTGAGCAAGCTTTCCTGCTGTAGCCGGTCCTGGGGAGCCTCCAAGGGCGGGCCCAACCCAGACGTAAAGGAGCGAGCCCTGAGCCAGGGGGCAGGAGTCCAGAGCCGTGCGTGTGTGTCTGTGTGGTGTGCACATGCGTGTGCATATTTGTGTCCAAGAGTGTTGGGACCACAGGCCGTGACAAAAAGCAAGGGCTTGTCTGTACCCCCCGCCCTGGCGTTTGCTGCCGCTTCCCTTGGTGGGCTGGCTCCCTCCTTCCTCTGCTTCCCCTGGCCCCACAGCCTGGAGCTGCGAGAAGCCACCCAGAGCTTCGGCCCGGAGATGGACAGGCCCTCGCCCTGCTGTCCTTCCAACCCCAGGCTTAGCTGTGTCTCCGGCCTGGCCCTGACACCTGGGGACAAAGTCCCACTCATCAACAAAATTGTCCAACTGGCCCTGTAGATGCCTGGCCCGTGATGGCCTCACCTTAATGTGGGGTATCCAATTCACCCCGGTTACGAGTGAGCTTCTGCTGAGGGGGCAGGGACAGGTCAGCAGGGGAGGTGGGCAGAGAAGACCAGAGACCCTGAGAGGGAGGAGAGACAGAGACGGGGCGGCTCCTCTGCATGCAGCGTAGATGCACGCTATCTCCCTCCCCCACCCCCCGCTCACAGACGAGCCCGCTGTCCCCATCGGTGGCCCCGAGGCGCGTCTGAAAGGCCGGGCCCACGTTTGTGAGTGTGGTCACTATGCTTGCTCTCAGCGGGCCAGAATCTGGCACGGGGACCGCCTGCTGCTCTGCCTGGTCATCTGAGGTGGTGGATGCCAGGGGCCTCTGTGACAGGAACCAGGCCCTTCCTTCTTCGCAGGAGGGTCGCATGGAGCAGGGCTTTGGGGAGCATGTCCTCCCAGGCATTTGCCGCCTCTCCACTTGGAAGGCAAGGAACGTTGAGGCAAACATGAAGCCCGCGTGGGTTGTGTGGCAGGAGTATGAAGCCTTTGTCTCAGCCCCAGAAGTCTCGTGTCCTGTGCCAGCACCTCTGAAACTGTGGCAGGTGGCCTTGGGCACTTGTAAGCAGGGTAAAATCTTAGAGACTCTTGACAGTTCTTGACAAGGAAGAGGGAAGAAAGTGAAAAATCACAGAAAAAAGGACTTGAAGTGTGCTGCAGGCGGGGTGACCGGCCATTTCAAGCGGGTTGAATGGGAAGCCTGAGCAAGGACTTGTGGGAGAGGAGGCAGAAGGGGCAGGCGGGCCAGGGCCTGAGTGGCTCTGGTTGGCAGCACAGGGAGTCTGGAAATTTCTACCCACATAGGACAGAATTGGAGGGGGCCAGATGAGAGAGAGAGGAGACAGAGAGGACAGAGAAGAGCTACAAACTGATATGCAGTTGGTAGCTGCCTGTGCCTGCTGCCACCGATACCAAGCTTGGGGTCACTTGGCAAAAGGCACAGGGCACCCCAAGGCCTGCTGCCACCTGCCAGCTGCCTGTAAGGCTCAGCACTGGAATAGCCTCGTGCTCTACGTGCACTGGGTGAGGCGGGGTCTCCGGGGGTTGCCAGGGTAGGGCGAGGGGTCCTCATTCACCAGGCTGAAGCAGATTCCAATTTGGCTGCGTTGGGGAGGCTCCACTCCGGAAAGATGGCGCCCACCTGCCGGCTGTGTGAGTAGAAAGCTCGACACAGGAACAGTGGCAGCTGTCCCTCCCACCCTTGCCCTGAAGCCACACAACTCAGTTTCTCCCTATGCATCTCTGGCACCCTCTCTCCCAAGCTGCTGTCCCTCTGCAGAGCCCAGGGTGAGTGCGTCCGAGCCAGTGAGCCTGTGCACGGGTTCGGAGAGCACCTGGGTTTCCAGCAGCCTTCTGTCCCACCTGGGGGGACGGAATCCCTGCTGATTTTCACAGATGTTGTGGGGGCTCTTCTTCCCATCACTGGTGCTCTGAACTGGGGAGCTGGGACCCCTCTCTCCTTAGGGAGGATTACAGGTTTCCCCATCTTTGCAGTTTCCAGCAAAAGTTGCCTGGAGCCCTTTCCTAAACTGTACCTTTAGGCAGAGATGACCCTCTCTGCTGCCCTCTGCTGTTCAGCTCAGATTTTAGTCTTCTGTAAGACCAACCTCTAGTGAGACCAAACTTCATTAAGTCACAAGCCTTAATTAGGTCCTGGTTTGTTTTACAGGGAAGGATTCTTAGCTACAGGTGCACCTTGGAGAAATTGCGGGTCTGGTTCCAGGCCACCACAATAAAGCAAATCGTAATCTTATTGGTGGAGGAGCTCTTGCCTCCAATTCGTGAAATCCACAACATCTGTGAAGCGGAACAAAGCAAGGTGGGCCCGTGGGCCCCACTCGGCTGCTGAACGTTGCAACCCATGTGTGCCCAGTAAGTATGAAGGACCCCCGAGCGGGCAGTCCAGGAGCGAGGGAGGCCATGGGGTGGAGCCATGCCCTTCTCAGGGGAGCAAAGGGGGTCTCCCCTCCTGCCTCAGCCAGGAGGCAGCAGTTACAAGCCGGGAGGAGAAGTTTTCCCAGACACCAGCCCTGATGCGCCTTGACCTTGGACTTCCAGGACCCCAAATGGTGAGAACATTAATTTCTGTGGTGTCATTGAAGCCCCCCGGTCTGTGCCATAGTGTCATGGCAGCCTGAGCAACCCAGGATGAGTGGGTCACCCTAATTCATGAACGGATGCACGTGGCATGTGTGGGTTTCTCTAGTGCATGGTGCAGGGGCATCCAACCTTTTGGCGTCTCTGGGCTGCACTGGAAGAAGAAGAGATGTTTGGGGCCACACATTAAACACACAAACACTAACAAAAACTGATGAGCAAAAGAAAAGGTTTTAAGTAAATGTATGGTTTTGTGTTGGACTGCATTCATAGCCATCCTGGGCCACATGCAGCCCGCGGGCCATGGGCTGGACACCCCTTGAGCGCCCTATACGTGCTAGCAATTTCCATCTCACTCATCCAGGTCATTTAGTAACCTGCCCTGTGCCAGCTGTGGGGTAAGACACTGGCCGTACGCAACAGAGGAAGCCTGCCCTCATGGGGGTTACAGGGCGTTTACTGAGTGCCCAGACCGAACCATCAGCGTCTAGCGGTGATTGGTTGATGATAGGGCTGTGT